CTGGCTATTTCTCTAGCAAGATACTTGGTCGGATTCTTGGGATATTTCACTGGAAAACTCCAACTGTAATCCTATAATGTAGGTGATAACTCTCTTCTCTCTGGACGGTTGTTACCTCTCTTCTCTCTTCTTACTTATATGCTGTCTCTGTACTTCAAATGGTTGGCCCTACACAGACTCCCTGTCTCCCTCTGTTGGATCACAGTGTCCTCTAATCTGTCCTCTCAGGTGGAACTATTTTTAAAAAGAAATTAAAAGTGCTCAAAGAGAGGTGTAGAACTTAATGAATTATCATTAAATAAATGAAACTAGGCTATCATCATCCAGGTCAAACAATTTACAAATCATTAGCTTCCCAAAAGTCCTCTTGCACCCCTTCCAGTCACTACTCATAGGTAACTACCATCTCAACTTTTAACATTATAGAGCGGTTAACTGGGAACTTTATATTAATGGAAACATACAGTATTTTTCTGTGTCTATTATTTTACATATTATATTTATGGACCCATCCACATTTTTGCATAGGCTAGATATTTATTCTCCTTGCTGTATAATCTTTGAAAAAATAAAAGTTTGCTTATATATTATTCTATAGATGATCATTGGGATTTTCAGTTTGGGACTATTATAAACGGTGCTTCTATACATATTCTTGCGCAGATCTCTCTCTCTCTCTCTTTTTTTTTTTTGTGGCATATGTGCATACCTATCCTTACGGTTGAGCTTTGCATTTGGCTCTCCCAGGATCCTAGGAGTTTTATTGGTCCTAGACCAGTATTTGTTTCTTGGCACAGGTTCATACATCATGTGGTAGTGAAAATCACCTCTCATAAAGGCCAATATATTTGTATATTCTGTTTTTAGTTATGGGTGGCTCCTCTCCCCACCCAAAATTTTGGGCAAATTCCTGGCTTCATCAGCATAGTCTGGGTAGTGTTTTCTAGTCCAATTTTCACAGAAAGACAGTGTTTTGAGATTCTCCATTTTATGTAGAGTTCAGTTCCTACGCTCTTCTCCCAGTGGGACTGAGGCCACAAATCCTGGCCCCTCATGGGTGTTAAACCCTAGTTCTTGGCTCCTAGGTCCTATATCTGATCTGAAACTTTTTTTGACCACTGTACAGTCCATTCCAGTTTACCCCTCTTTTTTCTTTTTTAATTTCTGGCTTATAGGGATTGCCTCTCCCCTTTTTCTGTTCTAGACTGTCATTAAACAACATGCTTTTGTTATATTTTATTCAACATTTGTGTTTGTGGTGGAAGCACATGTTGCCTCGAGCCCATGCTTCATGAATCATACCATGCCAAGTTTCTCTTCTTTGTTCTTTATCTGTTAAAGATATATATTCATTTATCCTGCCATTTTACTACATTTCCCCCTCCTTTTCAAAGAAAGGCATGAAAAAGTTGTGACTTCTCTCAAACCAAAGTGAAATGTGTTTACTTGTGTTTATAAGGCAACATAAATAATATAGAATTCTTATGTTAAATAATAAATAATTTGTAGCTAATAATAGATTTCATTTCAAACAAAATGGAATTTTTGTCATGTATCTAAAATGTTTATAAGTCATTAGGCATATAAAATGATCTACTCACATTTTAATAGTTCTTTTATTTTCACAGAATATGATTCTTTTAATAATAGTAACACTTGAAGTTATATAAACATATTAAATACAGAGAGCAGTTAGAAATAATACATAGGTAGAGTCAGCCATTCCATAATCCCTTTTTTCCAGATTATTAAATATAAATTTTTCAGAAATAATAACTTCTGTCTTTGCAAAGGTAGATGTTAAAAATAAGCTTGTCATAAATGAACAAAGGAAAAAAGATACAGACTCTTTTTTTTAAAGATTTTATTTATTTATTTGAGAGAGAGTGCACATGAGAGGGGGGAGGGTCAGAGGGAGAAGCAGACTCACTGCCAGCAGGGAGCCCGATGTGGGACTCGATTCCGGGACTCCAGGATCATGACCTGAGCCAAAGGCAGTCGCTTAACCAACTGAGCCACCCAGGCACCCCAAGAGACAGACTCTTAAATATAAGTAACAAACTGGTAGTTACCAGAGGGCAGGTGGGTGGGAGGATGGGTGAAATATATAGAGGGGTTAAGAGTACACTTATCGTGATGAGCATCAAGTGATATATTGAATCATTGAACTACTATATTGTACATATGAAACTAATGTAACACTATTTGAATTATACTGGAATTTAAAAATTATAATAAAAAATAAAAGTATAAAAATAAGATTCTTAAAGACTCTAACTCATGGTCTATTAATGTAAAAAGGCAAGAAATTTGTTGAAATAGCAGGCACTCTGTATAAAAACGTTGAAAAGTGTTAAATAAAAATCTGAGCAAGAGAATTTTTAAAATTTACTATATACGACAATAAGTGAAATATTACTATAGAGTTTATGTTGTTGAGTACAATAGTTATGGCTATAAGTGAAACAATAAATATAATTAAGTATACATATATTCAACAAATCTTTATTGAACTCTTAATTTACATAAGCATTACAAAAGACCTAGTTTTTAACTTTACAAAACCAAGTGAGCAGTATTTACAATAGATGCATATTGAACGTTTCGTTAGTTACACAGAAAGGTCTAGGTCTTTCTGGGATCAGTTAAGACCATATTTGAAAGATGACCAAGAGTTTGTCAAGAAGATAAATTTAGAAAAGGGAAGAGAGTCATAAAGGCATGAGAGATTTTGGGGAAATATAAGGATGTTGGTACAGCTAGAACATAAAATAAAAGAAAATATGTAATTTAAAAGAAAAGATGTAATAGTAATCACCCCTTGCTTTTCCCACCCTAATGTATATACAAGATTTTCCAAGGAGAAAGAGAAAAATGTGGTGCTCTATTACAGACCTCTGGCAGTATTACCCCAGGTTTCAAAAAGGGCAGATGACATATCCTTTCCCCTGCTTGATTAAGCAAATGTTTAAGGTACCTCTGTGTTTCTTTACCACAAACTTTGGCCAGAAGAGTGAATCTGATTTTAATCTTGACTAATATAAAATATTAAAGGAAATTCCATAATCTTTTATAAAATTACTTTTCATACTTAAGAAGTATGAGTAAGCTAAAGATTTTGTTTTTATTCATTTTAAAGATTTGTGTTTTTTTCTAATTTTATTTTAGTTAGCCACCATACAGTACATCATTAATTTTTGATGTAGTGTTCTATGATTCATTGTTTGCTTATAACACCCAGTGCTCCATGCAATACATGCCCTCCTTAATACCCATCACTGAGCTACCCATCCCCCACCCCACCCCCTCTAAAACCCTCATAGTCTCTCATGGTTCCTCTCTCCCTCCGATTTACACCCCCTTCATTTTTCCCTTCCTTCTCCTAATGTCCTCCCTGCTATTCCTTATATTCCATAAATAAGTGAAACCATATGATAATTGACTTCCTCTGACTATTTCACTTAGCATTATCTCCTCTAGTACCATCCATGTTGATGCAAAAGTTGGGTATTCATCCTTTCTGATGGCTGAGTAATATTCCATTGTACATACGGACCACATCTTCTTTATCCATTCATCTGTTGAAGGGCATCTCGGCTCTTTCCACAGTTTGGCTATTGCGGACCTTGCTGCTATGAACATTGGGGTGCATAGGGCCCTTCTTTTCATTACATCTGTGTCTTTGGGGTAAATACCCAGTAGTGCAATTGCTGGGTCATAGGGTAGCTCTATTTTTAACTTTTTGAGGCACCTCCACACTGTTTTCCAAAGTGGCTGTACCAACTTGCATTCCCACAAACAGTGTAAGAGGGTTCCCCTTTCTCCACAACCTCTCCAACAAGTGTTGTTTCTTGCCTTGTCAACTTTTGCCATTCTAACTGGTATAAAGTGGCATCTCAATGTGGTTTTGATTTGAATTTCCCTGATGGCTAATGATGATGAACATTTTTTCATGTGTCTGTGAGGCATTTGTATGTCTTCTTTGGAGAAGTGTCTGTTCATGTCTTCTGCCCACTTTTTGACTTGATTATTTGTTAGCTAAAGATGTTAAAATACTCAGTCTGTGTTACAGGAATTTATTGGAAAATAAAGAGTGCCAAAAAAGTAAATTTTCCAGTTAATTAAGGTTTATATGTTTAAGCTGAGATTTTTTTTTTTGTTCAGCCCAAATAAATTAGATTGTCCATGCTTTATTAAATGGAACACATCTGTGGTTTAAAATCATCATGGTTAAATATTAAATTAAAATTCCAGAACTTTTGAAAGATATGTTATTTCTCCTGCACATATGATCCCAGGATCACACATTTATCCACATTTCTTCTGTAATTCTTGTCCTCTCCTTCTTTCAATACTTCTCATTGTTTTAAATTGTTCTTTTATCATTATTTCTATTTATTGTATTTTCTAATTTGCAGCCAAAATAAACTGGGCAGTAAAGTCAGTACAATCAGTAACATCTTTTTTCATGTGTTACTCAAAATCATTAGACCCTTTAAAACTAAGCTCCAGGATATTCCAATAGAATTAAGTGTATAGATTTTATAAAGATCTATTTTAGAAACATCTCTAATTCTTTGGTCTGTATCTGTGTTCTTGATAGTTTAGATGTCAGAAAGAAAAAAATTTTACTACAGTTTGACTATCTTACACAACTAATACTTATCAACAGCATGTAACTAATCTTGAAATGATGGAAAGTTCTAAGGGCAATCTGATGCTGACACCATTAAGAAGATGCACGGAAATATTGTGCCAAAGATTTTTAAAGCAGCCCTCAAATTGACTTATAAGATGTGTTCATCTCCTTATGCTCCTGAAGACACAGGTAAAGTATTAAATAGATTTGGATCATCACCAACATTCATTTATGCCAAACAAAAGGCTGGCTGAGACAGTAATGCACTTACTGATGTGCATTTTTTTTAAGTTGTCAGTACATAAAATTTCCAATGGTCTTTAGATATTGTAGATAACTTTTATTTGTGTTATTTTTTTAGGGCAGCATAACTATTTATGTGCTGGAAGAAATGACTGCATTGTTGATAAAATCCGCAGAAAAAACTGCCCAGCATGTCGCCTTAGAAAATGCTGTCAGGCTGGCATGGTCCTTGGAGGTAATGCTTCTGTTTCATCATTAATGTTGAATATTTACACTCTAAAACCATGGGTCAGGAAATCCTAGTTTTCTTATTCATCTTTGTTCTTGCTTTGCTTTTCCTGTCATGATTATTGGTGTCTGAATGAAGCAACCATTAGTATCTCATTAACTATAGATTTTCATCATTTTGAGATCTGTTATGAGAAGCAATAAGCCTTCATTTGTCTATATTGCCTATAAGTAAATGTTATGAGAAGTTCACCAAACTCTTATTAAGTAACATGGGTTGGATCTAGGCTCTGACATTGACTGTGTGGCCTTGATAAGTCACCAACCCTTTCTGGGCATCAGTATCCTTATCTGTAAAATGAGAGCACTGAGGTTCTTTCCAGCTCAAAAATTGATTCTGTGAATTGGTCAAGTACAATGATCTCCATCCCTCCCTCTCTCCATCAGTCCCTACCACCCTATGTCCCTTCCTCATTCTCTTTAAGTAACTGTACTGAGCCCTTACTATTTACCAGGTACTATTCTAAGTTCCGGGAGTATAACAGCCATAAATATATACATACATACATACATATATACATGCATAAATAAATAAATAACCAACCAACCATCTACCCTAATGGAGCTTACATTCCGGGGAGAGGAGCAATAAATACTTATGTTAAATTATGATAAGTGCTATCAAAAATTATTATACAGGGTGAGTTAATAGGAAGTATCAGGGAGAGGAGTCACTCCTGAATCCTTTAATATTTTCATTTCACTTAGCCATTTCCTTTTTCCCCCTTCTTTTTTTTAAGATTTTGTTTATTCATTTGAGAGAGAGAAACAGAGAGAGCACAAGCAAGGGAAGGGGCAGAGGGAGAGGGAGAAGCAGACTACCTGCTGAGCAGGGAGCCTGATGGGGACTCCACCCCAGTTCCTGGAGATCATGATCTGAGCCAAAGGCAGACGCTTAACCATCTGAGCCACCCAAGTGCCCTTCCCCCCCTTATAAATATATTTTCTTTTTTGTTCTTCCCCCCTTTTAAGTTTTATTTTTTCAAGTATTCTTTTTTTTCTTTCTTCAAAGTTTTATTTAAATTTGTTAGTTAACGTACAGTGTAATATTAGTTTCAGGCGTAGAATTTAATGATTCATCACTTACATATACAACACCCAGTGGTCATCACAAGTGCCTTCCTTAATCCCCACCACCCATTTCACCCATCTCCCTGACCACCTCCCCTCTACTTAGCATCAGTCTCTTTCTTGGTTTGCATGCATCTCTCCTTTGTCACCCCTATGTTCATTTGTTTTTTTTTCTTAAATTCCACATGTGATTGAAATCATATGGTGTTTCTCTTTCTCTGATTGGCTTATTTCACTTAGCATAATACACTTTAGCTCCATCCACATTGTTGCAAATGATGAGTTCATTCTTTATTGTGGCTGAGTAATATTCCATTGTATATACATATCAGATCTTCATTATCCATTCCTCAGTCGATGGACATTTGGGCTCTTTCCATAATTTGGCTATTGTTCATAATGCTGCTATCTAAACTTTGGGGTGCGGGCACCTGGATGGCTCAGTCAGTTAAGCATCTGCCTTTGGGTAAGGTCATGATCCCAGGGTCCTGGGATCGAGCCCATGTTGGGCTCCCTGCTCAGCAGGGAGTCTGCTTCTCCCTCTCCCTCTGCCCCTCCTCCCTTCTCGTTCTCTCCCTCTCTGAAATAAATAAATAAAAATCTTTAAAAAATTAAAAAATTGAAAAATAAACATTGGCGTGCCTGTATCCCTTCAAATTAATATTTATGTATCCTTTGCAAAAATACCTATTAGTGCAATTGCTGGATCATAGGGTAGTTCTATTTTTAAGTTTTTGAGGAACCTGCATACTGTTTTTCAGACTATGCACCAGTTTGCTTTCCCACCAACAGTGTAAGAAGGTTTCCCTTTCTCTGCATACTCACCAACACCTGTTGTTTCTTGTGTTGTTCATGTTAGCCATTCTGACAGATGTGAGGTGGTATCTCATTATAGTTTTGATTTGTATTTCCCTGATGATGAATGATGTTGAGGATTTATTCATGTGTCTGTTAGCCATCTATATGTCTTCTTTAGAAAAGTGTCTGTTCATGTCTTCTGCCCATTTCTTAACTGGATTATTCGTTTTTTGGGTGTTGAGTTTTATAAGTTCTTTATAGATTTTGGATACTAACCTTTTATCTGTCATTTGCAAATGTCTTCCCCATTCCATAGATTGCCATTTAATTTTGTTGATTGTTTCCTTCATTATGCAGAAGTTTTTTATTTTAATGTAGTCCCAATAGTTTATTTTTGCTTTTTATTCTCTTGCCTCAGGAGACATATCTAGTAAGAAGTTGCTATGGCTGATGTCAAAGAGGTTTCTTCCTTTCTCCTCTAGGATTTTGATGGTTTCCTGTCTCACATTATTGTGTGTGTGTATGGTGTAAGAAAGGATACAGTTTAATTCTTTTGCATGTTGCTGTCCAGTTTTCCCAACACCATTTGTTGAAAAGACAGCCTTTTTTCCATTGGATATTCTTTCCTATTTTATCAAAGATTAATTGACCATATAGTTGTGGGTTCCTTTCTGGTTTTTCTATTCTGTTCCACTGATCTATGTGTCTATTTTTGAGTCAGTATCATGCTGTCTTGATCACTACAGCTTTGTAATATAACTTGAAGTCTGGAATTGTGATGTTTCCATCATTTAACCATTTCTTAAGCAATATTTCTGATATGCATTTGATGTAATAGTTATAATTTTTCTAAAACACATTAGAATGAACTCATAAGCTTTTTGTAGTTTTTTTCTTTTAGATATATATACACATGTATACATATTTCTTTTTTTTAAGATTTTATTTATTTATTTGACAGAGAGAGCGAGAGGGCACAAGTAGGGTGAGCAAAAGAAGGAGAGGGAGAAGCAAGCTCCCTGTCGAGCAGGGAGCCCAATGTGGGGGCTTGATCCCAGAACCCTGAAATCATGACCTGAGTGGAAGGCAAACAGTTAACCATCTGAGCCACCTAGGTGGCCTTTTATATATGTGTGTGTGTGTGTGTGTGTATGTGTGTGTGTGTGTATACTGACACACATATATATGTATATTTCTGTAGAGATATACTTGACATACAAGTTACTTTAGTTTCAGGTGTAAAACATAGTGTTTTGACAACTCTATACATTATGCTATGCTCATCATAAGGGTAGCTACAATCTGTCTTCATACAATGCTGTTACAATACCACTGATTTAATTCTCTATGCTGTAGCTTTCACCCCCATGACTTATTCATTTCATGAATAGATAACATGTACCTCTCACTCAATTTCGCCTATTTTGCTGATCGTCCCAGCTCCTTCCACTCTAGCAACCATGTTTGGCCTCTGTATTTATGGGTCTATTTCTGCTTTTTTATTTGTTTAGATTTCAAATATAAGTGAAATCATATGGTATTTGACTTTGTCTGATGTATTTCACTTAACATAATACCCTCAAAGTCCATCTATGTTGTTGCAAATGGCAAAATCACATTCTTTTTTATGACAGTCCATTGCACATGTATACCACATCTTCTTTATCCATTCATCTATTGATGGACACTTGGGTTGCTTCATATTTTGGTTGTCATTTATAATGCTGAAATAGACATAGGGGTGCATATATCTTTTCAAATTAGTGTTTTTGTTTTCTTTGAGATCCAGTAGTGGAATTACTGAATCATATGTTATTTCTATTTTTAATTTTTTGAGGAACCTCCATACTGTTTCCCATAGTGGCTGCACCAATTTTCATTCCCACTAACAGAGCACAAGTCTTCCTTTTTCTCCACATCCTTTGAACACTTGTTATTTATTACCTTTTTGATTCCAGTCATTCTGACAGGTGTAAGGTGATATCTCATTGTGGTTTTGGTTTGCATTCCCCTGATGATTAGTGATGTTGAACATCTTTCATGTGTTTTTTGGCCATCTATAGTCTATTTTGGTCCTCTGCCCATTTTTAATGTTGTTTTTTTTTTTTTGGTATTGAATCATGTAAGTTCTTTATATATTTTGGATATTAACACTTTATCAGAGATATCATTTGAAAAGATCTTCTTCCATTCGTTAGGCTGACTTTTTGCTTTGTTGATGGTTTCCTTCACTGTGCAAAAGCTTTTTATAGTTTATAGTCCCACTAGTTTAATTTTGTTTTTATTTCCCTTACCTGAGGAGACATAACTAGAAAAATGTTGCCAAGGCTAATGTTCAAGAGATTACTATCTGTGTTTTCATCTGGGAGTTTTACGGTTTCCAGTTTTACATTTAGGTCTTTAATCCACTTTGAGTTTATTTTTGTGTATGGTGTAAAAAAGTGATCCAATTTTATTCTTTTGCACATATCTGTCCAGTTTTCACAGCACTATTGAAGACACTGTCTTTTTTCTATTACATATTGTTGCCTCCTTTGTCATAGATTAATTTACCCTATAAGATTGGTTCATTTCTGGGTCTCTATCCTGTTACATTGATCTATGTGTCTGTTTTTGTGCCAGTACTATACTGTTTTGATTACTACAGCTTTGTAGTATATCTTGAAATTTGGAATTGTGATACCTCCAGCTTTGTTCTTTCTCAAGACTGCTTTGGCTCTTCAAGGTCTTTTGTAGTTCCATACAAATTTTAGAATTTTTTGCTCTAGTTCCATGACAAACACTATTGGTATTAGCAAATACGGATTGTACTGAATTGGTAGATTGCTTTGGATAGCATGGACATTTCAACAACACTAATTTTTCCAATCCATGAGCATGGTATACACTTCCATTTTTGTCCTCTTCAATTTCTTTCATTAATGTCTTATAGTTTTCACAGGTCTTTCACCTCCTTGATTAAGTTTTTTTCTAAGTATTTTATTCTTTTTGGTACAATTGTAAATAGTATTGTTTTCTTATTTCTCTTTCTGATACTTTGTTATTTGTATATAGAAACACAACAGATTTCTGTATATT